CGGGCGGGGCGTCTGGGGGGGGCGCCTCCGGCCCACCTCCGCGCTGCTGTCAAGCGGCAGCCGGCCAGGCAAGGGTTAAGCGTGCACGCGGCAGAAACGAAGGGAGGGAGGCGGCTGTAAAATGGACTGTGGAGGTTAAGTGTGAGGGTTAAACCAACACACTGAACTGTGAACACAAAGAAAAATGTTTCTTTAATTTTTAAAATGTTTTCATTTCTCATAATAAACCGAGCTGCAGTTGCATGCAAACAACATTATTTCGTGCCCCGAAGACAGCGCGACGCCGGCTCTGGGAGCGCGAGTGGGCTCGGGAAGCCGAGCTGCGGCTCCGGAGGGGCTTCGCGCCTCTCCAGGGCCGCCCCGCGCGGCACCGCGCCGAGCCCCAGCACTCGCGGGCAGTGGGCGCCCTCGCCGCCGCCGGCCGCGTTCCCGTTTCGAAGGCGAAGCTGCGGCTCTCTCGCGGCCGGTGGAAGCGTATTAATTGCCATGGTACGTTCAGATTGGAAAGTAATAAATAGGCGCACATTAAATCCTCTAAGGATTAATTTGTATTTTATCAGCTGTGAAAAGGGCAATTTTTTACATATCCAGACATAAGAGGTAGCCTTATTAGGCGTTCATTGGAAAACAAATTCTGCATATATTTTGCAGCAAGGTTTAAAAAAAAACAGCACCCCCCTCCCCCAAAAGTAGTTTCTGCAGCCAGGGAAGCAACGGGTGACTCTGCGGAGCTGGGGCTGTGCCCTCTCCCACTTCGAAATACCTGTGTGCCGGAGCGGGGGCGCGGGGGTGTGGGGGGCCGCAGCTTCAGCGTGGGAGTGGCCAGACCCCTTAGGCAGTTCCCTTTCACTTTTGTAAAAAAAGATTTATTATTTATGCACACTCGAGCTGGGGTGCCGGCCAGAGGTGTGGGGGTGAGAGGAAGCCCAGAGGGAGAGCGGGGAGCAGAACGGGCGGATCCACTGACACCCACTGCTGAGGGCGCCTTGGGGAGACAGGAGGGGCCTGCCGCGCCCTGCGGGTCACTCCCTGGCTGGGGATGGACTCAGGCCGCAGCGGCTGCGGACAGCTCCGTAGTGCTGAGACCGACCCTGCGCCCAGAGGGGTCTCGCTTTTACTGTTTGCCAAGAGACCCCGCAGCACGGACACGCTGGCTGGGGGCGCCTGGCAGCCCCAGCCGGCCCGAGGAACTGCCCCGCCGTGTGCCAGCGGCTGGTGCGCCCCCTGTCGGGGGGGGGGAGAAGCGGGGCGCGCAGCCAGGAG